ATCATTGGACATTCAGCCTTTATTACTTCCACGTCCTTCTCTCCTCTACTTGATTGGCTTGATATTATAGGGTTGCGTGATTCCTATATGCTGAAACTTTCTACAATGGGTGTCTATTCCTGAGACTATAACAAGCTGTTATGCCCATTAGGGGAGTTGAGAACATAAGAAACAGTCCCTCCTCGGCAAGCTTGCACTCTACTAACTGGACAAGTCAGCTTAGCACGGGGGGAGAGCCCACAAGCAGAGTGAGCAACACAGTCTGCAAGCATGGAGTTGCTGCCACAACTGGATGCCAGTTAGTTTTCAATGTTTGTCATGGAGTTTTGCTGGCAGGGAAGTAAACCTAAGCAGACAAAGAAAGGGAGGGGAGGGAGGCACTACTGGGGATAGAGGAAGGGGAAAGGAGAGCACTGAGGGTAGATTGGGTGAGGGTGACACAGAGTTTTCAAAATGAAAACTTTTGGACGTGATTGTCACCTGCCTGAGGGTTTTCTGCTGCTGCTGTTCCTCTTTGCTCCTTCTAGCTAGGTCCCTGCACACTCCTCCCAGACATTTCTCTTATGTACGCACATAGCTGAGAGTTTGGGAGCCTGGGGCTGGGATGGGGACTGCTGCCCATCTCTGGTTCTGAGTGCTGGCACATGGGTGACACTCCCTGCCTGTCAGCCCTTCCCAACAACACAAAGCTGAGGATACTAAGGGGCCTTGATGCAGCAGCTTAATCATCTTAAGAACAGAAATCTGTTGCAGGAGTTGCAGTGTATGGGACTGGTAGAAGAACCTGCTCTCCAAGGCTTAGTAGTGCAGCATCCACTTAGCCAATAGCAGGCACTGAACAATGTGTCTCCAGACCTGAAAGCTCAAGTCCCTGTGTGTGGTGTTTAAGAACCAGGCTCTGTAGCATCCTCCCTGGATCACTACACACTAGTAGTGTAATGATGGGTGGGTGACCAGGGCATCAGCCCTGGGCAGTCTTAGGGGGCATATCAGAATGGAGCAAAGGTGGTGCTTCACCCTTCCCTTCCCTTCCCCATCACACCACCCTGTACCTCCCCTGCAGTGAGAAGGGCAAAGAAGCATCAGTGCATGATGCAGGAGCCTCAGTTGATGGTTTGCTGCTGCTAGGAGAGATGTCACCCTTTTTTTACTCTTGGAAACCAGCAGCTTTTTGATCACTTGATATGCAAGTGGTTGTATCTAGCCTGCAAAGCCAGTATGTCAAATTGGAAGGGCAGCCTGCCTTTAGTCCTTGCGCTATCCAGATCTTCAGGTTTCTTCTCAGCTCCAATTCTTCAACCTACAGTTTTTCTGAAGCCTGTTGCTTCCCTCCAACTAGTTTTGCAGCTTTGTCAAGAGTAACTTATGAATCACAAACCTATGTCCTATTACTCTTCTGTGTCTCCAGAGCAGTTGGCTGCGCTCACTTTAGCCTCTCAAAATTTTTCTTTTCAGAGTTGAGCACCCAGCTGGTGGATATGTGAAGCTCTTTGAGACTGTGGAGGAATTATCTTCACCTGTCGTGTGTCATGTCACAGGTTGGAGCAGTTCCACTGTTTTCCATCCACACTTCCTCTGAACACAGGGACGCTCCAGGCTGGTCACCAGATCAGAGTTGTGCAATGAGATAAATGGGTTAAATGTTCCTCTGGGACTGTAAATATTTGTCCAGGCATCTTGGGGTAGCAGATGCTGGTCTACAATTTTAATTGAGGCCCTTTGTGCTACTGGAAAAGCCTGAGATCAGTTTAATACATTATCTTGTGCTGCCATCCTTTCAGATATTTTAATCAGGCTCTCATTGTCAATAAGGACAGCACTACTTTTGAAGAGTTGCAATAGTGTTAGTTCAATGGGTGGCTCTTTCTTTTGAGATGGTGCTGGCCCAGAACACAGAGAGGATTCCTGCTGGTGATGCCATCTTTCAGAGACATAAAACCAAAGTCATCACTTCTTGTAGGTCACTTATGACCTGTGACATTTTAGTAAGATCAAGCATGTTAATCAGGATGATAAATGCTTGCTTAAAAAGTAATTTTCTTTCTAAAATTTTGCATTTGGCCTGCAAATTTCTCTGCAATGTTAACTGTTAATTGATATTTTTCACCTCCTGAAGCATAGTGTAGTGGTCTTAAAAGGTTGTTGAACCAAACCCTGCACCCCAGGAACTGGCACAAGGAACTGGTAAGGGAAGTTCCCATTTATATATAGGGGATGCTGGGAATTAGGGTCACAAGCCAATAGGCTGAGGAAAGGGGGACAGATGCAGATAAATATACATTAACATACACTTAGGATCTGGGTAACAGGAAGTAAATAGTGACACTGGTGAAATCACCCAAGAACAGGTAACTGGTAGAAAACACTAAAACTTGAGAACCTTAAGCCTTCCCACAACTCCGGAGGGCTCCAAACCAGTCTCTGGTCCCATAAAATGCTTAATTGCCATCTGCCTGGGCTCTATGTCTGAGCCCTGCTGCTGCAGCTTGCAGTTCTAGCTCTACTACTTCTTCCTACTCTCTGGCCATATGCCTCCCTCTCTCAGCTGCGGCGACCCACACTCCAACACCGTTCCTCCCACTTCATCTGTCTCCTGCCACCTGGGAGTTGTAGTGCACATTGCAGTTCCTTCCTCCAGTCCCCTGGAGATTTCTGGGAGTTCCCGTTCAACCTCCAGCTCCTTCTAGTCCTCTGGAGGCATCTGGGCATTGTAGTTCATGTTACAACATTACAGTATATAATATTGTTTTATACTCCAAAGGCATCTGTTTAAGTGGTGGATTAAGTAATCTCATGGTTGAGTTTGTTCATCAGACTGGATAGGTCTATAAGGTGATTTGGGATAACATATAGATCATCTTGTTAAGAATTCAAAAGCATAGCCTGTTCTTGTACTTGCTAAAATCATTTTGCCTTTATAGGTAGAAGAGGTAGAGAGAGACTAGAGTTTAATGGACAAAATAACATTTTCAGGATTAAAAACAAAATCTGCCCCTTTGCATGGAAACAGTCTGCTGATTTTATAATTCTGTTTTGGATCTAGTCTGGATGTTATGTCTATAGGTTAAGGAAAAACCCCAGCTCCAATCTGGATGTGTGTATTTCTTGTTTGATGCTTAGGAAAAGCTAATGAATCCTGTTTTCCCTTGAAATTAGCACTGAAACACTACCTCCTTGATTGCCTTTCTCACAGGTAGGATTCCCACCTGGCTCAAAGGAAGCCTGCTGAGATGTGGACCTGGCTTATTTGAAGTTGGTTCAGAACCATTTTATCATTTGTTTGATGGCCAAGCACTTCTTCATAAGTTTGACTTTACAGAGGGGGATGTCACATACTATCGGAGGTGAGTGCAGCATATTGCAAAGCAAATGTAATGAATTAAAATACAAAACATAGAAGCCAGATTCTGCCTTCTGATGGTGACAGGGCTTGTGTTCACTTCCAGCCGATTACCTGATGGAAAGATGTCTGCGCTGGGGTTATAGTGCATCATATGGCAACAGTGATGATATTCATTGTTAGCATTAACCTAACACTTTCCCTGTGAAAACTACAAAACTTCTTACATGTTGGAAATAGGTAGGTTTAGAGATGAGCAAATGGAGGCAGAAAGAAGTTAGGGGATTAACTCAAAGCTGGACAATGAGACAGTGCTCATTAGGACTACAGCCCAGAACTCCTGATTCTCTCAGCCCCATCTTTCAATGGCAAGAAAAGGCTGCCTTCCTTAATTTAATTAAAATACCTCATGAAAATGCTGCAGCATACTATAGCAACCATCAAAAGACTACAGCTTTATCACACTGCTAACTGTGTTTTAAATCTTTACTCCCTGTACCTCAAAACTTGCTGCCTCTCTCTGCCATTGTTATTCCCTGGTGACTGCTTCAAATTGGTGTAGAGCCAGCTCATGCTTGATATCAAAGGGCTAAATATTTTATTAGAGTCAAAACTGATCAGTCTCTATTCTTTCACCTGTGGCAATCCACTGAAACCTTTTTTAACTCTGTGACTAAATTTTCCATGGGAAGTGTTTTTTGGTCAGAAAACTAAAAAAATATGGGTTTTTTTTGTGGGGGGGGGTTGGTTTTGATCAGGCACACAAACTCAGCTGAAAATCAAAAAATACTTCACTAAGAATTTTTTGATATTGGGATTTAAAGTTTTTGTTGTTTGGGTTTTTTTTTTTTTTATTAAAAGATTTTTGCACGACTGGAGCAAGGGGAGCAGAATATTTTCTGACTACCTCCAAATAAAGACAGCAAGAAGGTACTAGCTAGTGCCATTCCCTACTGTGCAAAATACCACAGGGTGATGAAGAGAATTAAGTCCATATTCAGCTATAAGTATAATTGAAGTAAAGCTGTAAGCCTGGCTCAGATTTTCCCGGACATCACCTTCCCAGGTGTTTCCAAGATCTCAGCATATGAAGAAAGAAGAACAGTTTTGAGAGCTGTTGTAGGCACTCCAGATGCAACATGACCCTCTTGTTAGCAGACACGGGTCTTTATAGAACTCAGCTCTTTAAAATTCATGTTGTGTTTTACTGCAAGAGTTGTAAAGATCAGTTATAATTTATAATGTATGTAATTTATATCAACTTTATTTGGCCACTTTTGTGATTGTATTGATTGAATCCCTTCTCTTTCTTGCCTTTCTCTAGGTTTGTTCGGAGTGATTCTTATGTAAGAGCAATGACTGAGAAAAGAATTGTGATAACAGAGTTTGGCACTTGTGCTTACCCTGATCCATGCAAGAATATATTTTCCAGGTGACTGAAAGTGAGAGAATAAACATATATAACCGAAAACATGTCAAAGTACTACCAAAAGAAAATTACTGACTTATTGTTGACTTGATTTGTTTAGGTTTTTTTCATACTTTAGAGGTGTGGAGATCACTGATAACGTTTTAGTTAACATTTACCCTGTGGGAGAAGATTACTATGCCTGCACAGAAACCAACTTTATAACCAAGATTAACCCCAAGACTTTGGAGACCATGAAGAAGGTAGGTGCTTTAATCTCAGGATCATAGGAAAGTGGGGTTGGAAAGGACCTCACAAGGTCATCTTTTGGGGGAATGTGGAGAAATTTAACATCAAATGAAGATTCATGTTACACAGGGGCGGGCAATTATTTTGGGCACAGGGCCACTTACTGAGTTTTGGCAAGCCATCGAGGGCCACGGGACAGGCAGCCCAGGGCAGATTAATATTAATTTTCTAAGTTTTTTAGGGGCCCCGTAGGCCAGATGCAATGGCCTGGCGGGTTGCATCCAGCCCCCGGGCCACATTTTGCCCACCCCTGATGTTACAGCGTGTACAGATGGGCAAGATATATTACCTGACACAGGCCATTTTAGTAGAAATATCAACACGTTTGATTATCTGTTAATGCTTCTGAGATGTCATTGAAAAAAATTAAAAAAGCCCCTATGAAGTATGCTGCTTATATCAATCACAGGAGCTTTGGTTTAAACATGACTTTTTCCTCATGTAAAAGAGTTCTATGCCTCACTTGAAATCAAAAGATGTGATTAAAATCACAGAAAACTCAATCTTCCAGGAAAAAAAAATTATAAACAGAATTTTTTTCCCCACTTGTTTCAAAATTTTTCCAAAAAATTTTTCAGACCTGCTTTCATCATCATCAATCATCCTTTTGGAGACAGGGACCTGAGGCGCACAATGATTAAGGCTGGAAACTTGAAAAGAGCATCAGGGAGCAAGATGCCCCAAACCTAATGGAAGTTGATGGGAGTTGGGTGCTCAGCTTCCTTAGGCTTGCTTAAAAATCCCACCTTAAGTAGTTTCTCCACACAGGAAATAAGGTGTGGATCTCCCAGTCCAGTGCCCTATTGTCCTGTGCTACTATTTGGATGCTTATTCTAGCTTATAGAGCTATTGAAATAAGCCATTTTATCAGTAGTGTCTGAATGTGGCCAGGCACTTGGAGCAAAGCAGAAGTGGTTGCTACCACAATAGCTAACACGCAGCTGCTGGCACCAGTCGCTTTTTTTCAAACCCCTCCAAGTCAGCACCCAGGGCAGTTGCCTCATTGCCTGCACCCCTAGTTACACCACTGCTTTTTACAGCTAAAGCAGTTCGCTAAGCTTCCAGATTGCTTTGTTGGTTACATAAGGTTCTTGTGATCTAGCTAAATGTTGTTATGGCTTTTAGCTTCACTGGTCATTTCAAGAATTATTTAGTAAGGGTTTTTTTCTATTCAGATTGAATCATGTCTGTTGTGTACATCTTGTATTTTTTTTTGTTTCCAAGAATGCTCCAGGAAGCTTTTGGTATTTCTAGTTTCCTACTTCTTTTAAGAAAAGCTAATGCTATGGAATTGTGTGTTGTACAAATGATGTTGTGAAGTTACATGCTAAGCCTGCACCGGTTTGAATAGCCGCCCCAACACAATGTATATATTATGGCAGGGATGCTCAACCTGTGGCCCATGGAGCAATAGCATCTGGCCTGTGGGGCTCCCCATGGGCTGGGAAATTTGGTGGCAGTGGAGCAATGGCAATTTTATAACACCATTGTCCTCCATTTCCAAATTCCCAAGACCCATGTGGTGGGTCAGGCCACATCCTTTCCCTTTGCACAGCCAGATCAAGGCCAGACTACACTCCCTTCCCTCGCGTGGCTGGGTTGGGGCCTGGCCACAGAGACTTCTCCCCTGGGCCACACTCCTTTCCCCTGCATGGCCAGATGGGGGCTGAACCACATCCCCTTCCCCTGCACAGCTGGTTCATAGCTGGTCCGTGCCCCTTCCCCCCGCGTGGCTGGATTGGGGCTGGCCTTTGGCTCCTCTTGGGGGCTGGACCAAGCCCCCTTCCCCTGCATGGCTGGATTGGAGTTGGACAGCCTCCTGTTCCCCTCTGCATGGCTGGATGGGACTACATCTACCCTGGGTGCTGAATTGGAACCAGATACTAGATCTGGCCTACGGATGGGACTGGGCACTACCCATCCTGCCCGTTGGTCTAAAAGTTCAAGCAGCACTGAATAAAACTAATCAAGCTTTTCTGGATTGTTTTCCCATTCTTTTATTCTGATACAATTAATAGTAACCAGCCCTTACCTCAAAGTCATGCTGTAGGACCTGGTTTGACTAGCATGGCAATGCTACGGGCTTACCTCCTAGCTTTGGTTTTCAGTGCGAGCCAGTGATTGCTAGGCAGCTGTGGGCTAACGAGAGCAGAATGCTGTCACAGGACGTCCACCTGTGCTGCTGCTTTCTGGTCCCCTGACAGCTGTACTAATTGAGTGTGCTGTCAGTTTTCACTACCAGTCTCCTGTAATGGCTCTCAAGAGGACAGTACTCTTATGCAACTTCCAACAAATCCGAGCATCTGAGTTGACGCAGACTTAGCCGACTTCCTAGAAGAAAGCACCAGAGTTGAAGCAGAGGAGCTGCTTTAACCTGAACGTTACAATTAATACCCTGACACCCTACCCCTGTGTGGAAGCCTCATCCCTCCCTATTTTCACTCTGAGCAGTCCCCGCTCCATCACAACTCCCACTAAAACACCTTGTAGCAGCCCACGAGCACATTTCAGCAAGGTACTAATCATACTGCTCTGTCAGGGCTGAAGAACTGAATCCAGCCTGGGGCTTACTCGGAGTTGGAGGCCTCGGGAAAGATGCTGACACCAGGCAGACAGCTGCAGAAACACAGAACTGCCTTGGACATGGCAGCGGTTTCAAAGGTTTGCCATAAGACATGCTCACTTCTTTTTCAAGTGCTTCCCCTGGACCCTGTAGTCTCGAACATAGACTTCAACAGATGAAAAATTCAGGCAAATCCTGCACGATCAAGTCATTGCTGTTGTTTCTCAATTCAAATATTTTCAGGTGATGTACTGATGAGCAAGGGATAAGACTATTCTTTACATTATTCTTTACATAAAACAAGATAATGTTTACAAGCCAAATATTTCAACAAGTTTATTGTGGTAAATTACTACCTCCTGCAGACAAACCTCATGATTCTCCAAGTTTCATCTCTCTCATTCTTCAGGTGGATCTCTGTAAATATGTTTCAATCAATGGGTTAACTGCTCATCCCCATATTGAAAAGGATGGCACAGTTTACAACATTGGCAACTGCTTTGGAAAAAATTTTTCAATTGCCTATAATATTGTACGGATACCTCCACTGCAAGCAGGTTAGTTTATGTAGTATTTAAAAGCAATATGTATGCACTTCAGAACATCATGCACAACAAACTTGCCATCTTTGGACTTTGCGCTTTGTATGTCTTTTCAATATTTAGATCATGTTTGTGTTGTCTTTTTTTAAAATCCATTTTGCCAATAACTAGAAATTATGGGGAGACATTTTGTAAGCAACAGAAGCACTCTGCAATTTTCATAGACTGAATACTTTTCATGTTAAAGGCCAAAAACCTTTTGTAAAATATTAAATTATGAAAACAGCCCCATGGATGGTTCAGTTAAATACAATTTTATTTCAGATAAGGAAGATCCAATTAAGAAGTCTGAGGTGGTTGTGCAGTTTCCTTGCAGCGACAGATTTAAGCCCTCCTATGTTCACAGGTAAATTTCAAGGCAGTTCCGAATATGGTACAGAAAAAAAATACAAAAAGCCAGTTTTATGTGCAACTAAAAAACGGGGCTCGGAATCAGGGATTAAAGCAGTCTTGATGTCAAGCCTGTATTTAAGACGTGTGATCATATTTGAATTGAGCCATTTTTAGCAAAGAGACCACTGTCATTTATACAAATGAACCCAAAGGTACAATCATCCTGAGATGCGACCAGACGTACTTCACACGGTTTGACTCTTGTTTGTCACCATGCTTTACAGAAATGTTTGGTCTGCCTTTCATGCTAAGCAAAACTGTTAAGCATGTAATAACCAACAAGTAAAATTAACAGTTTGCAAACCTATATATTCCAGTCAATTTGAGTGTGAATTTTCAATGCTGCATTCTCTGTTCAACATAAACTACCATTTTGTGCATATATGTACTCTTGTCAGAAATCAATACAGTGAAACTTAACAAGCTCCCACTATATTTCTGAACAGCTTTGGAATGACTGCAAATTACATAGTATTTGTGGAAACACCAGTGAAAATTAACCTGATCAAGTTCCTGTCTTCCTGGAGCCTTTGGGGAGCCAACTACATGGACTGCTTTGAGTCCAATGAAACCATGGGGGTATGTGATATATTACACCAAGAGGTAACCTGCTATGTGACTGGGCTTCAAAATGTGAGGCCATGTCACAGTAAATACGTCTTCATTATTTCCCAGGTGCCAAAAGCAAAATGCTTCCTTGTTTCCAGGTCTGGATTCATGTAGCAGATAAAATTAAAGGAAAGTACCTCAATATCAGATACCGGACCTCAGCCTTTAACCTCTTTCATCACATTAACACATATGAGGATAATGGATTTCTTGTTGTGGATCTCTGCACCTGGAAGGGGTATGTACGGGCTCAAATAAGTGCCCATCATGTCTTTTAAAATCTAGAGAGCACGCCCATCCCGAAAACTCACAGGTGGGCACCTGTCGTATCCATAGCACTGATCTGTCAGCTTGACTCACCTCTAAGATTTAATGTAAGAACAAATATACTGCAGAGTAACCATGCACTGAAAAGGAAATGGGATGGTCAATCTAATGGATCCTTGTTGTGCCTACTTGTTATGAGTTTGGGCCTGACCCTTCCTGTGATTGAATTTGTCATGAACGATTGTCAGTCCATTCTGACTGGGGGGGAGACTGGCTTGTCTGCAGTCAGGTGACAGGAGAACCAGGCTCTAGAATTCTGGCCTATATACATTTAATTATAATAATCCATTTTAAAGCTGCAAGCTGAAGTTACACCTCATAAAATATAGTCATGCTATGATCTCATTAATGGAAATATACTGTCAGGCTCTGATTTTTATTCTAACTACGAGATTGTTAATACTAACTTTTGAAGGCAAAGTAGCATTTTCCTAAAAATGACAGAATCTCATGCTCTGTGACTATTTCAGTGCAACATGTGAAAATCTATTTACTAACCTCCTGAAGGCTTTTGAACTTCGATAGACCCCAGTGCTCCACAGCCACCCAAAGTGCTAATTTGTCTGAATAAAGATATGTGATACCAGTCTCTGCACCACACAGGAATCGGTGATAAATGAGGCTGTGATCTCCCAGCCAGATCCACATGAGCAGACAGACAGAAGCCCCATCTTCAATGAAGCCATGTGAATAGACATAGGCAACTGCTATAATGGGGATCCATTTTCAGGGATGAAGGCAGTCCTTGAATTTCAATTATCTTGTTTTAAAATATTTCCTTTTTGTAACTTTTAGTGCATACTGCTCGTAAGTAATGGTATGGTGGAGTCCAATAGAGTCCATTTTACCAAAGCTTTCATGTCACCACACAGCTTTAGTAAACCCCTGCTACTCCAGCACCTGTACTCGTGGTCACGCAACTGGATTCAACTTGAATGGCACTGAAAATAACTCTGCCAGGCCTTTGGATTTTGCAGTAGTGTCTCTGTACTTCATGCCTTTGCAATGATAGGAGGTGCAGAGCTGCTCCAAAAATGGCCAGCAGTATACAACCTGCTTTGCAGGTGAGCAGCTTTCACTTGCATTCAGCAGAGGGCAATGGTGTACATGCCTGGTCCATCCCGAGAGCCACACCAGGGCTCAGGGCTCAGTTTTTGCATGTTGAACTCTCTCTCAAATAACTCATGTTTGCAATTCTGTCTCTGTGCAGGTTTGAGTTTGTTTACAATTATCTGTATTTAGCCAATTTACGTGGGAACTGGGAAGAAGTGAAGAAAAAGGCTGAAAAAGCCCCTCAGCCTGAAGCTCGAAGATATGTCCTTCCTTTAAGCTTTGACAAGGTAATAGTTTGATCTGGCACATTTTGGAAGCTTAGCTCAATTCAGTTATTTGGAATGCTACAGCCCGCACGGCTCCTGCAAACCCGTGGCCAGATTGTTCATTTTTCAGTGCAACTGAACTCAAATCTCTTTTGAGAGAAATTTTTAAATCCACATACTCAGTGAGCCCACTATGCATGGGTTTCTGGCAGTGCCCAACACCACAATTCTTCACATTGCTCTTTATCTTGTAAAGAAAAGTATCAGCAACTTTTCCCATATGCTAAGTTCTATTCCCAGAGGTGTATGTAGCTTGGAGCTGGGTGAATAATTTTGCCAGCTCTTTTGCTAGAGTGTTTGCAGAGAGAGTGAATATTAAAGGGGAGCAGAGGCAGCCAAGGGGACTGTGCATGGGATCATGTGAACAGCCTCAATAGTTTTGTGGCCTCTCAATTAACACAGCAAGCAGCTTGCCCCTGGGCCAAGCCTGCCCTGCTGTTCCCCCTGGCCCTGTGTATTTAGAGCTGATGCAGACCTCATTTCCCTGGCAATCAGAGCACCAAGGGTCTTTGTGTCTCTAATCCTCCTCCTCTGCTCCATCTATTTCCTGAATAATTTCTGCCATATAAGGCAGGGTCTTATGTTTCAAACTTACTGGTCTACATGGTTTTTAAACTTTTCACTGCTGTTGATTCTGATTCTGCTGAAAGCAGATAGAGGTAATGTAACTAGCCAAGTAAATTGGCTTCAGAGCAGTGAAACTCCCTGGTACTCTCTACACATACAGCATATGTATTAAAACAAGCGCTGACCTGTATTGGCACCTTTATTACCTCACGATGGTTTACTGGGAGATTCTCAAGAGGTACACAAAAGAGTTAGACATGCACATGCCATTGACTTTTGCAGAGTTAGGCAGCTGTCTCACTAAATCTTTCTTTCTCCAAAAAACATGGGACTTAATTTTTCACTTCAGTAGCTAGTGCTAATTTATATTCAGCCTCACTCCTTAGTCTTCCTTCTTAAAGGAAACTAGGTTTGAGTTGGGATCAGCTATAGTAAAGCAAAGGCTCCTAATTCACACTAACCACTAGGAAAGTCGCTGTCCATTTGAGTTTTGGAAGTAGGCCGGTGTGGCCCAAAAGAAAAAGTTAAAGTTACTATAGTGCAGATTGAACTTTGCTTATTTATTTTGGCAAGTGCAGTTTAGTTTGAATTGCGTTTGAAACTTCACAGGATGCTGGGGAACATCTAACAACATATTTTGTAAAAGTCATGAAGGCTTACTGTTCTGAGCCTTTATTACAGCACCTTGCTATTCAGAGTTAATTAAGAAATGAGGAGAGTCATTTTTGTGTGTGAGTTGGAAATTTTGTATCCAGCTGCCTATCATAAGCTACATGGCTGGGGGAAAGACAATCAACCTTCCATGGCACATAGTACATGGTGCAAGAAAAAGAAAATGCAGGACTTGGAGTAACAGTTGTTCCTTTATTTCTCAATGGCTCTTTCTGTCCTAGGTTGACACGGGTAAGAATTTAGTCACTTTGCCCTACACAACAGCCACAGCAACTCTGCACAGTGATGAAACCATCTGGTTGGAACCAGAAATTCTTTTTGCGGGGCCCCGCCAAGGTAAGATTTAATCCTGAACCTCAGCCAGAGGCAACAAAAGCTGTTTCAGAAATATGAAACCTACCAATTCCAGCAAACATGTGTTTTGTTTTATAGCCTTCGAGTTTCCACAAATCAATTACAAGAAATATAGTGGGAAACCCTATACATATGCATATGGCCTTGGACTGAACCACTTTGTTCCAGACAGGGTAACTATTAAATATTTGAATGGGGACATGTGAACTTAACCAATCTTTAACTTAATGATAAATAAAGGAGTCTTACTAAAATGATGTTTCTCTTCATGTTATAGCTTTGTAAGCTGAATATTAAAACCAGAGAAACATGGGTATGGCAGGAACCAGATTCATACCCATCAGAACCTATCTTTGTTTCACAGCCAGGTGCCCTGGAAGAGGATGATGGTAAGTATCCTCATATTATGTTTCACTGTATTTTAATAAGTTCTTTTAAAAGTTTGTGTCCTTTGACATGGATTGAGCTATCCAGTCCTTTTGCTGGATGGATAGATTTTAGATTGCCACCTAAAAGAGAGGTGGTAAGCAGCTTGCTGAAATTGTGCCCCAAGCAAGGGACCAACTACCCTACTACTACTGGCTGCAAGGGTGAGAAATCGTAAGAGCTAGCGGAACTCTCTTTCAACCCAAGATGTGAAATAAGAATTCTGCAAAATATAATCAGAAAAGCATACCTGCAACATAAATTTACTTTCTCTTTCCACTGTTTAATGGGCCAAATTTGATATGGACTTCATTTGAGGGACAGTCATCGCAGAACCTGCAACACCTTTCTAGGGCTGGTTTTCAGATAGTTATACTGTAAATTTCTAATGCAGCAGAAGTTGCCATACTATGATGAACCTGCTTGGGAAATTATTTTGATGTACTACAAACTCAGAATACTTTAAGAAGGAAAGGGTTTTTCTGTTCACATTTTAAGGAGTAGGGTTTTTTTTTTTTTTTTGGATCATAAGAAAGTATGGCTGGAAGGGACCTCACAAGTTCATCCAGTCCAGTCCTCCACACACAGCAGGATCATCCCTAACTAAGCCACCCCAGCCAAGTGTATAGGATCACAGGACAGCATGGCTGAAGGATTTCGCTGATGCACACAATTGTTCTAGGCTAGGCATATGCAGTTAGTGATTTGCACAAGGTCCATAGTATTCAGCATGCATATAATCTATTTACTTCTGACTGTTAGGAGTGATTCTGAGCGTGGTCGTTAGCCCCTGCGTGGGACCCAAGCCTGCCTACTTACTGGTACTGAATGCAAAGGATATGAGTGAAATGGCCAGGGCTGAAGTGGAGATGAACATTTCTGTTACCTTCCATGGGATGTTCAAAACAGCATGACAGCTATCACAAGTGCCTTTATCATAATTTACATTTTTATCTTCAAAAAGATAGTTTCTACTTACAAACCTCAAATACTGTTTTCCATTGATGCCTGGCTTTGATTTATAAAATTTGCTTATTAAGAAATCACTTTTCTGCATATTTACTTATGATATTTGCACAGACTTTTCCAGCTTTACACTTGGCAACATTTTAAAAAGTGCAGCAGCAATCATTTGAAAATTTAAAACAACAAAGAAGGGCTTTTATAGAATTAAACTCTGTGGCAGGGAACAGAAGATACCTGAAAGAGCACCATTAGAATTCAATATATATTGCAGATACAATAAACATTCATGAAATAAGCTGAAAATTGTAGCTCCTAGTGCATGCTTTAAGAGGAGGCAATTTTATATTGTTTAGAAATTTTCTAATTTAAATAATTTCTCTTTCACTGTGTTAACATCCTAAACTCAAATGCTTTTCAGTGAGTCACAGTAAACTCACCAATTTGAACATCATCTTTCCTGGCTGTTCTGGGGACCTGATTCAATCAATGAGAGAGCAGGTCTAAGACTAATATTTTCTGACTTAATAACAACCCTACTGCTGAGAACTCTAGAGGTAGAGCCTACAACATATAGGTAATGTCCCTTCCCACTCTTCAGTTAATAATGTCCTGTCTACAGTACTGCATCACCCGCTAGACACTAGTATGGAAAAAAATGGCTTCTATCCTCTTTCCTCCTAATTTTGGAAGCTCTCTCACATTCAGGGTAACAAGTGGTTTGGGTAATGGACTAAGATCAAAATCCAAATTGTCCAGAATTACAGGGACCCTCTATACCGGGGTTGTCAACCAAGGGTATATATACCCATAGGGGTACTTGGAAAGATCACAGAGGGTGCACGCGGCCTTTACCTAGGGGAGGTCACTGTCAGCCCCACGCAGCACATTGCTGCTCCTCCCCACCCCCAACCCCAGCGGCTGCCACTAGAAGGGGCATACTAGTTAAAAAAGGTTGAAAACCCGTGCTCTAGACCAGTGGTGCCTTGACCTTTTGGCCCTATGGGCCAAATGGATGGTATGGGGCTGGTCCATGGGCTGGACTGAACCCCTATGCCCCAGGATCAGGCCTGTACATCTGGATCTGAACTGCACCGTTTCTGCTGGGCTCCACACAAAAGGATCAGGGCCCTGGGGCCTCGCACTGCCTCCGCCTGGTCCCTACACCAGATCTAGTGTGCAGGGCCATGCCCCGCCAGGCTCCCCATGGACCCAGTGACAAGGTGCAAGGGGTCAGATCTGGCACATCGGCCAGCTACTGAGCACCCCATATGTGGACTTCTGCTCCACAAACTATTAAGCTTCCAAATCTGAGTGAATATAATGTTGAATGCAGTTGGGCGAGTTCAGTGTTTGTAAATGTATGCATATTTCCAGTACAGGTTCTCAAAAATAAAGCTGTTACACCTCATAACTGAGATATCTGTTAACAAACAGCTCTGGGTAAGATGGGGGAATTTTTGATGCTGCTATCACCGGGTTCTGTGTCAGGGCTGACAAAACAGTTACTATTCTCTTGTAAATACTTAGTATAAATTAATTCTTCTACTGTTAAAAGTGAATGGAAACTGAATTATCATCTCAGACCTGAGATGAAGGAAAACTAAGCTGACTCTTTCAATATTTATTACATACAAACATAAGTTACTGTAGTTTGCAAGACTCATATCCAATTGCTACTTCCTTAACGTCTGCAAAAGATGTAAAGAAAAAGTCTGAAAGGAAGACCCAAGAAAGAATGTCTTGCATTCACTTATCTAACTTTATCCCTACTAAACAGCTGGTCCAATAAGAGATCACCCTAAGAAATCCTTGCCCCTCACATAATTTCTGCACCGATGGAGATTATTTGCAGTTGTTAAACAATCCCACATAATTAGTTTATAACCCCTGAGCCTGTATTTTCACTATTGAACCTTGACAGAAATTTGACAGAATAGTGACTTCAAAACAAATATCCTGGGGGAACAGAGGTGTAAAGTCTTTATTTGGAGCATCAACTTGTCCGTTTTCTTTTCCAGTTGTCATTGCTCTTATTCTTAGAAAACACTAACTTCTCAGCCTCTGCATTTCATACAGGAGTGTGAACTACATTAATACCCAATACTTTTATTGCACAAAGATGAATTTGCTTAATTGTAAATGGGAATTGTGCCATAGATCCATCATTCCATGAACTGCATTCCCCCTTTTTTTTTTTTAAGAAAGTATAATCTTTCAAGTAATTGGCAAGTGAATTATAGATTAAAATACAAGCCTACTCTACATGGACATACAATCCAAGAATCCTCTCTCAATGGCAACGCTTTGTAGAACTTACATTTACATTAACAGTATTCTAGTGCCAGAAAATCATTTCCATTAACAAATGTCACCATGTACTAGGATTCCTTAAAGCCCAATTATCTGCCAGTGGAGACTTCTGATTACATTCTGATGACAGGATATTGTTGCAGAGGTGCCGTCTGGTATTTCTGCTGTTTCATTATATTTAAGCACTGTGAAAGCACCTGAACAAAAAAGAAAAAGAGCAGGACAAGCAAGGAATCATTCAGAAACACCAGCAAACATTCATTATTTTTAGAGACCCGGTAACACTTTTATATCTATCTTTTTGTGGAATGATCAACATTAAAATGAGAAATTGCCCAACATTAATATGCCCCAACAGGAGAAATGAACGTGACAGCATAATGTTGCCAGGGGCATGAGAAAGAACTAGAGGGAGAAGCATCCTCAGGATACTGTGTGGAGCAAACAGGTACTATCCTAATATAGGAGACCATGAGAAAGCAAAGGGAATTTGAAATTATACTTTTGCCATTGTAGCATATTTTCTGAAAACTAAGCTAATCACCACAACATACATGTCACTGAAGTGCTGGAGTGCTCAGCCAATCCAAAATGCCATTAGTGCTCTACATTGCTGCTATTTCTAATCGTATACAAAAGAATGACCTGTCTCCTGCTCCTTTTCCCTTAAGTTTAACCTTTTAGACACTATTTCCCATGGCAATATAACTGACTGCAGGGACAGCGATCCAGTTTTTGTCTTGAGAAATAAGATAATTTAATTTCTTCAAATATAATGTACAGAAATGACAATTTCTAGATTAGGAACTGGTTGACTTATTTTTCTTTCACTCTAAATATACTGTGAACACAGATGAAGATTGGTGTAGATTTGATTATAACAAGTCGATAGCCTTCTGCATATTGTTTCTGGTTATGAAAATTAAGAGGTTTGTTTTTTGTCCTGTTTTACTAGTGAATACTGTAACATTATGAGAGGACAATAAAACCTGCTAGATAGGCTTAGATGTGAGTGGGAATCTCTTATAGAGCTCAGCTTCAATACCTGCAACTGCTCCGTTTCTCACTACTGAGAAGCGGAAGGGCAGAAACATAGCTTGGAACTGAAAAAGAATTGAACAGCAGCATCCCTGTGCAACTGGTCAGGAAAATAAGTAACAATGGCTCACTCTCATCACCATACATTTCCTTTTCCAATTAAATTTTTAGTGAGATATAGGGCACGGCAAACTTCAGCATTTGAAAACATTTCTCATTACTCCCCTGTGCGCTGTTTTGCCAAAAAATCCAGAAAAAGTATGAACAGTCATTCCTACAGCACCATAAATGTATAGTCCTTTACAAACAAATGGCAGTCCTCCCTAATGCTACATATTTATCATCCACAAATAAGAAGTACTCAAGGCGCTTAATTTATTTATTGTTAGTAATACTTTAAGACAAAAATATCAAGAGTTCAGGTAAGCCAGTGATGGGGCACAAAGGGAAGAGAAGTCATTCCAAGAGTAGAGGGGCAATTAGAAAGCAGGACAGCAAGACTGCCAGAGAAACATGGAGCAGAGAGAGTGGGATAAATACAGGGACTGAGGAGTAGAGATTAAAAAAAAAAAAAAAAAAAAAGAAGTGGAGATGGAGGCAAGGGCAAGAGTAAAAGTTCAAGCAGGGAGCTTGCACTTGATGTTCCAAGACAGAAATTCAAATACAGAATTCTAGGAAGGGAGTTCCATGATCAGAGCAACCGGAGTAGAAGAGGACAGCAAGGGGAACATCTTACATAGCCTGGTTAGGGAAAGAAAAGACAGTGGCTGTATTTCAGTCTCCTAGCTAAAGAAGTGGCCTGGTATTTGGGAGACCTGGGCAAGTTGAATCCTTACCCATGTCTCAGTTTTCTCCCTTTCTGTTAAATGAATTCACCTCCTAATCTCTTTGGAATCTTGCAATGAAGTGTGCTTGTGCAAATGTAATATAAAGAAAGAGCCTACCTTCCTAGAGTGTTGGGGCAGAATTATACCATCATCCCAAAGGCGGGCAGAGGAGTAAAATGCACTGCTTTCTTCTGCTAACCTACACAAGAAAATATTTAGAAGATTAAAAGCATGAAATGCAACTGAAAATCTAGATCAGTGTAACAAAGGCACAAATAAATGGCACAGCTGCTAGTCTGGGTGTATGTATGGTGTTACCATTGAACTTATTTGGTGTCCAGGGGACATTTAAGAGCAGAACCAGTCCCTGAGGTGTTCTGTATTTCAGTCTACCTACACCATGGAATTACTGCAGGATCTCTCAAAAATATTCATTTTTTCCACAATATTTGCTTTGGGGTACAAGGAATGGTCATCTGGTTATGTTGCTGGGTGTAACAAGAGTCAAGGTCTGTTACTGAGAGCAGGGCTAGTCAGAGTTAGAAAGCTGCAAAGCCCCTGGATAATTAACATCTGGGAGCTAATTAGGTAATGGCCTGCTGAGGTGATCTTAGTTCAGCAGGAGGACCTAGATAAGGGGCTACATAAGTCCTGCACCAGAGGCACAGGGATCAGTCTGACCTGGGCAAAGCTGGAGGCAGGAGCTCCCTGCTGGGACCTGGAGGTTTTCTCAGGCTATGCAAGCAGAAGGAGCTCCATACATAAAGCTGAGAAGGAGGGCCAGAGACTGAGGGAGTTGCAAGTAGGCCCAGGATGGCCAGAGCTGACAGAAGTCAGTGGGACTGAATAGGAGCCTGTGGATGGTCTTTAACAAAGCGCCTCCAGCTGTAAACTATTTGTGGTGGAGTTTTGCTCATTGCATTACAAGGCATGGGAGTGACTGAAGGGGCAGAGCACTAATTTCAACAAAGGACTAGTGGAGGCTGGGGGTTCAGTCTAAGGGGTGCAAGCCCAGTGAACTGAACTAAGCCCAAGGGACCAACAGCCCAGAAAGACAGAGCTGAAGGGTGCAGGAATCACTGAATAGGGCAGCCTCCTGAATATAAAATAACATCAAAGGGATGGCAGGTGAGTAGACGGAGGTACCCAGATTAACCAGAGAAAAGATGGGGTTTAAGTGGCCACCAGGAAGTACCACACTTATTTTTAGAGGAAAAATCCCACTCTGGGCTGTTCTGAAAAATAAACAAAAACTGATAGTGAAATCAATCCAATCATAAGAATAACCCCTTCAGTTACGGTTAATGTACTTACTTTTCCTTTAGTTGCTTTAACTCCGATTCACCTCTTGAGCACTCATCCCCAGCTTCTGGGAATGTGGAGAAATGTCCTGAATCCACAAGGGCAACTCTTGCATTAGGCCACAGGAACAGAAAGTTTGGATCAAATGACCTCCCGCACTATAGGGAAAAAAGCAAGAGACAGTGCAAGCTGAACACAAAATAGACCATTCATACTGAATAATGCATTAAGTCCTCAATGAACAAAATGCAATATATGTTTAACTCATGAAGTATTACTGATAGAGGGCCTCACCCTGTGAGGTGCTGACCTGTACAACCACCACTGTCCTTCACTCAAGAGTTATGGATGCTCAGCACCTCACAGAATGTGAGGTAAGACTGCATTTGCAACTGTCTTTGCATATGTAGCAGAGCACTGTCCCTGCAAATACTTGCATACTTTAAACAGGC